TTAAAAGACTCACCCTGTATATACCGGACATAATATTTAGCAAAATTCAATAAACCCTGTATTTATCCACTGGGTATATATCATAGATACAAAACCTTGGACTATTTTTAGGACTTATTTCCCCAATTTTCAATATACCAGGTGTTTGTCCATCACTGCATTTAACTAATATTGTTTTTAAATATTCAGAATTTAAAAAAAAGAAGGCATTTTTAAAGCAGATTTATTAAAATTATTTAAAAACGCCGAATATATTCGAAAAATCCGTCATTCCAAGATGTACATGACCTTGCATAAATACAAACACGCCGGCTGTTCGATACCAATTACCTCTCAGCGATACATACACACATATTTCGATCAGCTGAGCCCAAGGCAATAAAACCACGAGAAAAACTCCCCGATACCCCCCCCCTACAAATTCCACTCATTCCCCCTGTAGAAAAAAAATCGAAGCCGATTTATCCCTCCAAGTCCTCCGGCATGGCGAGTATGTCCTCTCCCACCAAACACACATACACAGGCGCGCGACATCCGCTTTTTCCTAGGAATGAGCTTTTTCACAAATTTCGATAATAGTACACTATTGTTTTCGATAGTTTTGAAGTGAAACTTCTTTACGCGTGCTGGGTGTAAAATTTCAAGGTGACACACGAGCTAGCGTCACGGCACACCTCATGAAAAGTGGTAACGATCGAAAAATGTCAATGAGAAGTTGAGATACCTATCTCAACTTCTCATTGACGACGCTTCAAAAACCTTTTTGACGCGTCCTATGTGAGCCAGGGGGCTGAAACTCATAATGTAGATGTTACTCGAAGAGCCCCATCTGTTTATAATATTTTGGCGATGTGAATTTCGTGCACTATCAACTCGATCATCAACGGCGAAAAAATTGTCCGATTAAAATAAAATCTGGTATATCGATAGTTTGGACCAAGGCCAACTTGACCGTATACTACACGTGCCACTGACACTTAATTTAAGAAACGTCAAACGTAAGAAATGTCAAAAGTTGATGTCGCCCGATCCAGGGGGGTGACAGTGAAATAGGAAAATTGGAAACTGTCATTTCTGTCATTCTCCTCACGACAAGTATGGTCGCCTAGACAAGGACCAAGGATACTATAGAGATAAGGATAGTTCGATTCCTATCTTCCTGTAGGTACTGTCAGTTTTTTTACGTTTTCTATGGACCGAGTTGAAGTTCGCGCTAAAGATTTTAGACAGTAACAGTTATTTTTGCGTTTGACGGACGAGCGCACAGTGCGGCGGAAGATAAATCTAGCGGGACAAAGCCGTTTGGTTAAAAATAAGCCAAAAATGTGTACTGATAAGAATAAATAGTAGACATTCCAATTGATACAAAAATGCATGAATTATTTTTTGGTCGTATATATTCTTTGTATTTCCATAAATTTTTATCAACCAACCATATAATATCGCTCCTTAGATTTTATCCCGCTAGAATAACCATCCGCCGCACTGTGGAGCGTTGGTCCCTGCGTGACGTAGGCATCCACGGTGACTACGATAGCGGCGATTTGACGCGATCGAACAGTCCTTTAGAATATACATATACAATCCTTGGACAAGGACAGCATTCTTTCTCTCTAATTATTGCCTAACTTCACAGTTTAGAAATGATAGATTTGTTCTAGAACAAATCTTTAGAAATATTCGACGCCATTTTAATTCACTCCGTTTAGTTTCGTTTTGGAAGTTCAGTTTAATATTTCGGCTGAAATTTATAAATATAAAGGTAATAAAGTATATAAAATATATATTACATGAAGAATCCTGGAGAAAACGACGTTTCCGCAGTAGTAGGTATGTTCCATGTATATGAAAATAGGTAGAAAATAAACACTGTTCCTAAATTTTTTACATGCAAGAAAATACTGTTACCTATAATCTCTTTGATCGGCGATTTTTTTGAAAATGGAAACAATTTACTGCAAATACAGCCAACATGAATTATATGTCGTATGTGTGGTTTATTATCAATAATGCAATCAATCTATAAGATACACGTTATGTGATAAATTTGTTCTTCATACCTATTTATCTTTATTTTAAAATGTAACCACGATTGTATTTCCACGATTTAACACAGAGTTGACACTTCTTTCTAGTTAATTATTTTATGGTCCGATCGCGACCAAATTTGGTGGGTATATAAGCTATGTGAGCGAAGGTACACGGAACCACCCTGTAAAGTTGGATAAAACGTTTCGTTTACATCTTCATCAGGGTGGGACTAAGGATTTGATATTAAGGACAAATGTAGGTCGATTTCGGCATAATTAGAGACGAGCTACAGGATGACACCCTCGACGTTTCGAACCGATGCCTCTAAATGGACGAAATCATCAGGATTTTTCTTAATTATAGGTCGATTGAAACCAAACTCGGCATGCAGATAGAGGTACCCGAATGGAGTCCTCAGACGCATAAACGGACAGACGGTCATTTTATTACAAATTTTGTGAAATTAAATCAAATTATTTATTAATTTTTAATTTAAATTACTTCAAACATATCAATCCAATTTAATCAAATCCTTCCAATTTAATAGCCGTTAATAAAAAGTTTTACTTCAAATATGCGCACATAGTGCACACACAATTTTTTAATTTTTCTATTCTATCGTTTTCGCCATAGAAATTAGTAGAGAGTAGCGTTTTAGAACAGTTTCTGCATCAGAGGAGAAGGCACTAGCGAAAATATTCAAAAACGGTTAAAATCCACTAATAGACAAAAAAAAACGTACAGCCTCGTCACAAGAGGTGCCATTTTTACTTCTAATAATACAATATACTATTAATTCCGTTTGTTATAAAATTGCTCAAATCTCTGTTATTTTAAATTCAACTCTATGTATAATATTTAATAAATCAGAATTGATATTCAACGATAATCATGTTCTTATACCTAAATCTTTAAAGTTTCTTCAGTAAAATCATTTAAAAATAATAATCCTATTACACTTTTTTTTTGGTTTTAAAAAAATCGTTACCATAACAAATATTCGAATTTTATAAGTATGTATATCAGTTAGAGTTTACTTCCAAAATTTCTAAAATTGTCATGGTTACTAGAATCTCAAAATTAAACTATAATAATATAATTTTATTATTAATTGTTAAATCGCTCGCTGAGGACATGATACGCCTTTGAAAAGTCTTCCGATTTTTTTAATAATTAACTATAGAACGTACACTTCAATTTAAGATAACGGGAATTTTGGGCAACGGCCCAGCTAGGTCGAAACAGCAGTTCCCGATATATCACAAAAGTTAAGTGACGTCATGCTGTTGTTCAATGGCAAGAATATAAAATGTAAAATCTATTGACACACATTGCTCATTCACGGAGGTTTTGGTTAAATCTTCATCAGGGTGGGACTAACGATTTGATATTGAAGAAGAATGTGTGTCGTTTTCGGCATAATAGGGTTCATTATTTGGAGATCGGGCATAATTGGGCTTCAAGATGACGCTCTCAACATTTCAAACCGATGCGATGCCTCTAAATGGACAAAATCATCAGGATTTTATTCGATTATAGGTCGATTGAAAGCAAACTCGGGACGTGGATAGAGATACTTGAATTGATTCCACAAACGGACACTATGGACAATATCAAATATGCGCACATAGTGCACACAATTTTTTTCATTTATAGCCATGTCTATCCTTGTTTTATGTACTGATTGAATTGGTATCAATTAGTTCTTGAATGGGAGGACAGGAAAATTGAAAGAAGACAAAAGCGAATGTTCGAAGCAAAATGTATCGAAGGAGTTTGATAGAAATGAGAAACAAAAGAAGGGATTTTATCCAACACAAGTTGAAGTAAAGCGAGCATTCAGCTTGAGCACCTTGTGCTTGGGACGTGCGTACTCACTAGATAAGAAAACCTACGACAGGATTAATGTCATCATCATCATCATTTAGCTTATTCCGTCCACTGCTGAACAAAAGCCTCCCTTAACTCTGCCATTCTTTCCAAGAACTCTACCATTTCTTTCCATTTTGTGCCATTTGAATTCAGTTTCCAGCCACTCTCTTAAAAAATCATCTGTCCATAGACTAGGAGGTCGTCCTCTGCTTCTATAGGCCTCGTGTCTTGGTTTCCATTCCACAAGTCACTTTGTTCACCACCGTCCATCTGTTATCCTAACCACATGTCCTGTCCAATTACATTTAAGATGTAAGACAGATTTCACCGCATGTCTTACTCCTGTTCGATTTCGTATGGTATGATTGGGTATGTTATCTCTAAGAACATGGACCTTTCCATTTTCTGTTGCGTGACCTGTATTTTATGTATCTTTTTTGTCACAGTAAGTGGTTTCAGCTCCATACGTGAGGACAGGCAAGACACACTGATTAAAGCTTGTGTCTTTAACGGAGTAATGTACATAGATAATACTCAAAAAAAGTTAAGAATAAAGTTCCTGATCTCAAAGTATCGATACCTTTGTACATCCCTACGCATCCCTATTTGTCCGCGCGCGTATGTATAGCGGAATTTTAAAAATGCGCACGGCAAAACAATAATACTCAATCACCGATAGAAATGAGCCAATAACCAAATGGGACCTATAGAGACCGATAGGAGGGGGTAAGGGGGCACATAGCCGACGATGCACGTTGCTGCCGCCACCGGGGGGACTGGGGACGGGCAGGGGGGCCCGTTATTGGTCTCACCGCTACGTGACAGGACTGTTTACAAATGTAACGATTGATTCGGAGGCGGTGGTCGCGATCGGGGCTCCGCAGCTTGCGTCAGGGTCCCCAAACGGTGTCCAAAAGCACCCTTAAGACGTCAGGGTGCGTACGAGTCTCTCCTGCGGTCCGGTCTGCGTGCGTGTGTGTGTGTAAATGCGAGACGCGCTTTTTGCTATCGATTTTAGGCTCGACGCCGAACGAACGAAAAGTGGGGAACGAGGGGGGTGGGGTGGTGGAACGAAGGGGTGGGCGCTGGAGGGGGTAGAGACGGTCTTAAGACCGAACCGCCCGATGTTCCTAATTGCAAACCCTGTCACTGTTTCTCCATGTATGGTTTTGGAGAACTTCTTCCAAACCATTCTATATACAACAGGTAAAAATATTCATGCTGCTTCCATACATCTTCTGCCAAAAAAATATTAGTCATGATCACAAAATATTGAAAATTTCACAGTTTTTAGAAAATATTATATAATTTTTGAACGGTTATGCACTTTGACTTTTAAATGCTATTGTATTCCAAGAAAATGGATTTTTCGAACCCGTACCGTACTTGTAAGGAAAAAAGGCCTTCAATTCTTATAGTCTACGTCATTTAATTGGTTAGTAGTTTATTTTTTAACTAAAAGTATTTCATCACATCAGTGAGTTAAAAAAGATCTTTAATTTTCATAACTATGTATAAAACAATCCAAAAATTGTCTGTTTTGGACTATTTTAACAACAATTTTAGAAAATTAGTGTCATTATAAAATTTTGAAAATATAATAATTTATATAAAATACGGTTTACTTTTAGAATGTAGATACCCGTACAGACTTAGATATTGGTTTTATATAGACAATTTTTCGAGCTTTTTATTTAAACGAAATATTATGATGGATAAATCTGCCTACATCTGGTTCCAGACACGTAAAGCCAAAATGGGCTATATCTCCTTAATAACATTTTTAACAGTTAATGCTATCAAAATCGGTGAGCTGTCCAAAATCATCAATTTTCATGACCCTAATCATGTAAATATGGATAAATTGGCACCTAAATTTGTATACCTATTTTAAAAAGTAAATTGAACTATTCGTTTCCTTATGATTTTATATCAGCCACCTGTATTATAGAGCCATCCTGTACGTAAATAAAAATTATGAATTCGGTAAAGTATAATCTGTAATCAAGATATACAGGGTGTTTCAAAAACATGTACCATCTCTCGGGAGTATAGATTCGTCACGTAAAAATAAGATTTATTTTTCATATCAACATAGGTCCGATTCTGCTTTGTTTTGTAGCTACAGAGTGTTAAGTCTAAACCTTCAAAAAAATTTAATATCATTAACTTGCATAAGTTTTAAATAAGTAATCATTGATTCCTCATCAAAGAATATGAAAAAAGTTCCTGTAAATATGTGTACGGAAATGTATAGTTCTAGAATTACTGGATAAAACTTTAAAATTAGGTTTTTGTAATTTATCTTAAATACCATTAACTTTTTCTTTCAAATTGCTGTAGGATGGAATAATAACTAATAGTAATAATATTTAATAATAAATTAGATAAAATATATAATTTGTTAATTTTATTTTAATTTTAATTTTATTAATTGTGATTAATAAAAATGTGTTTATCTCATCAAGGAGGCCGAATTCGACAAAATATCAAGATAACTTTTAATTTGAGATAACTTTTAATTGCAAATGGAAAAAGTCAGTGGCGCACATGTTTTATTTTTGAAAAATATTCCAGTGATAACCCATATGCACGTCCCTGATGAACGTATCGACACATTTTTAGTAACGTAGCACTTATAGTAACTTTTACCCTCAAAATTTCATTCAAATCACAAGTATTTATTATTATAATAAATCGAAAAATTATTAAGACTTTAACACCCTGTAGCTACGAAACAAAACAGAATTGGACCTATGCTGATATAAAAAATAAATCTTATTTTTACGTGAGGAATCTCCCCACGTGAGGTGGCACATGATTTTTAAATACCCTGTATATCAAGATATTCTTAACATTATTTTTTTCACCATAACTTTGGGTTTTAATCTAAATTTTACCAAATTTCAGTTTTAGGTTCGAACGAGAGTTCGAACTATAAGTGATGATCAAGACTGGTCTTGGTCTTGCACAAAAAGCCAGACCAACGTTTGATCTGCAAAACCAAAAGAAGACCGACTAGTGCAAGACTTCCGCAAGACCAAAACACACCAAAACCAAGACCAAGCATGCAAGTCTCTTGCGATTTTGCAGTTTTGCGGTCTTGCATTTATTTTTCATGTTTATGTGATATAATCGGTTACTTATTTGTTTAAAATTATTGTTCTAATTTATTACAAATAGTGTTTTCCCCTTCCCGACTATTGCATAAAATTTTAAATAAATTAATCCTGATTTAATATAAAATCTTCGACAGACAAAGATTCTAATAATATTTCTTTAAAGCTTTATTTGCATTAAATTACTACAAACACTATTTATTTAAAGATTTTCTATGTAGAAACTGCATCTAGTGAAAATCTATTAAAGAAATGCATGAATTCAAAGTCTTGCAGCAAGACAAAGACCGAGACTGGACCCTGCAAAACCAAGACCAATACCAAGAAAGTTTTGGTCTTATACATTTGCTTATCACTAGATCGAACGATACTTTAACAAGAGTATAGCAAAGGTGACAGAAACAACAAAGATTTAAAAACAAGGATTAACATGAAGTGGAAAAAAAGTATGAGTGAAAATTTAGCTACCATAACTTTTCAATTAAAATTTACCACATTTATTTAAAAAATGTACGCAACAGGTAATATTGTTGGTTCATAATCTCATAATGTTATATCAGTATTGAATTAATAAACTATTTTGTTTTCGATCATCGATCGTTTACAAAATATCAATAAATTTTGATGAATTTAAAAATAAACCACAATAATAGATACACCTGCAGTAATACTCACGTTATATTATTTTATTACTATACAGGATGTAAAAAATAAAATTTATTTTTCATATTAACATAGGTCCGATTCTGCTTTGTTTCGTAGCCACAGGAGGTTAAAATCTTGTTTTAACATTGAAAATGTTTCTGTTATCCTATATAAGGGAGCCCAAATCGAATTAAAATGCTACATTTGCCACACCATGACGTCATATATACAAGGGTATAGGAAATCTCGGCGCAGCGGCGGCAGTCGGCCAGCGCGCGCAAAAACCATTACATCGCTAATTGTTTATTGATATATCTTTATTAGTTTAAAAGCAAAAAATATGGGGTTTGCTTTGATACCTTGTCAAGACATAAGCGAAACTTTTAAATTGTTTCTTTTTTCATTTAGGCCTTCGTTTTTCGTTAAATCAAAGTTATATTAAAAAAAATCTATTTTTAAACCAAATTTTCCCATGATTGTAATTATTATTCATGTTTAAAATTTTTTTTGGTCATAAGCGCTAATGGAAGTGTTTTTTTATAAATAATTATAAAAAATTACTCCCTACGAAGACTTTATTGTGTACTGGATCAAAAAATAAGTATTTGTTTTCTCTATACGGTGGTATTAATATATCGATTTTTGATGATAGTGCCTTTTTACCCGGTCTAATTTTGTACTACTTTCGGAATAAAGGTCCCCATATCATGTACTGCAAATGTACTGTACTTCCATCCCTGAAAAATTCAGCTTGTGACACCGAAGTGAGAGGTAACGTCAAAATAAGCTTTAATCTACCTACATCATAGGTAGGTGTAGGTACTCTAGGTATATTCTACCTAGACAATAGCTGAACTAGCTGACAGTAGTAATTAATTTGTTATCCGATAATAGTTTGGTTTGGTTTGGTTTGATAATAAGACTAATTTCTTCTTATTGGTAATAAGACTAATTTCTTCTTATTCTTTTTAAATATTACAGTGTTTCTTTTTTCCTAAAATGTTATACTTAATTTTCGCTTAAAATTAAAAAATCACAAATGGGGAAAATATACATTATTGAATAAAGTTTATACAAATCACTTTACCATAACAAAAAAGTAAAACATGTCATGGCGGAAGATATTCAGGTGGCATTTCACACATTTATCTATTAAAATCGAGATTAAAATAATAAACTTGCGTAACATGTTATACACGAGATAGAAAGTTTCAGAATCGATTAATACGCAATACGCTACGCAGTCAACTTATTCCTATGCGCGGATGAGCGTCTTCAAGACTCTTCCAGGGTCACGACGCCGCCGAAGAGGAATCGGCCTACGTTTGGCTAAACAGGCTGGACACGGTGGAGTACGATATTGGCGAGTCTGAATATTTATAAAAATTTGCAAAGTAAAATATGTTGGAAAAATAATTAATCCATACATATATAAAAGCTCAAAGGGTTTTTTTGTTGCATCCATCCCGCCGAAAGCGCTTTACCAATCTTGATGATTCTTTTTTTAAATGAAAGGTATATATGTGTAGATTTGTTATGAAGTATTTTTATAGTGCTTAATGGCTATTTCTTTGTGTAAAACGACTAAATACTAAAACATACCTGAAAACACCTACACACAATACCTCCAGAAATAAATTAGTTGTCATTGTCAGTGGTGTGTCAGTTAGATTATATATTACGTTTTTAGATATTTTAGAGTGAGTTGATGCCGCCAGCTTTAGATACATAAATATTAGCACAAAGGTTCGTTTAAACGACATTAGTGAATTAGCTACACAAAGCGATTTTAGGAAATTCATCCTCTTAGAGAGTAAAATTATCTCGGAACAGTTTGTTGTATGAAAATTCCTTACTATTTCGTCTAGAAGAATGAAATCCTACAAAAAGAATTAGAAGAAATTTTTGAAATTCATCAACCAAATGGGTAAAGTTAGTAAAAATTTATATAAAACTTGGTGACGTCTGGATTATACACATAAAAATTGGCACAAAGGTAAAGCGAATTTATGAAATTTATACCCTTAGGGAGTAAAATAGGGAATGAAAGTTTGCTGTACGAAAATGCAATACTATAACATTATAAACCAGACAGTATAAAATTTTATACAAGGGTTTATTTAGTGACATCATAAGGAAATATATCTTCCTCAATTATCCTTCAAAGAATAAAAAATAACCTATAAAGAGAGTATTAGTGCTCTTAATAAATAAAAAAAAGATGAAAAATAAAAAACATCTATATGTTCACTAGCTCTCTATAAAGAAGTAAAAAATCATTTAAATCAATGCATAAACGATTCGAGGTGTAACGCGAACGTAGTTGCGAGAAAAAGCTAGTAATTTATTAAATTATTTTATTTAACTCATTAATTTTCATTGAAAAGGAATTTTTGTAATTCGCCACTATATTAGTTAAAAACTAAGAAACTCATATCAAAT